TGAGCTGAGGTGTTCTGGGTGGCTTATGCTTACTCTATTAATGATAAAAATGATTTTTTTACTGACATGTTTTTGTTGAAGACTGGACGACGTTTCGTCTAATTGTTAGCTGCGCTGTACCAAAACATCTGTTTTCTTAGGTTAATAAAGAGGGGAGGGCTAGAGAGGGGATGACCCACGCAGTGCTGCTGATTGGTCATTTGGCCACAAGCAACAGCCAATCACATTCACCCCACGGATCTTTATGCAATGACGTAATCAATGTGGAATTTTTCGAGTCTTGTCTAGTTTCACCGTGTATTGTTCACTAGGGCTAATGTAAATCACGTTCTTCAGGCATAGTATTAATCCGATATTCCAAATCAAGCAGAATGGTACTTACTGCTGTCGCTGGTGAAAATTACGATAACAGTAGCAATACACATGAACAGTGACATGACAGCCAAGTGTCTGACTGCCAACCACTGTTCAGCAGCTGACCGCATACATCCAGCCATCGTGCGCTGGTCTTCCAATCTGTAGAGTAATTAAAAAGTATGTAAGTTTAGACACTCATTATGAAAGCTTTAATTTCTCTCTTGGTAGCCAGTGATTGAAAAGTTAAAATAAGAAAGATGATGACAATTGCCAACGAAGGCGAGGATTAAAATGGATTACAAAATTTTTGACCATATTTTTTAGGTTGGTCTGTAAGGAGAGGGCTTTTCCCTGCATTTTAATATCACAAGAACTTTTCACAAAGACGCAGTCAGAGAGAAAGGGCTGATAAAAGCGGCGTGTCAAAACTAACCTGAAAAACTCTTTTGTGAAGTATTTTTCTTTCTGACAAGCTCTGATCGTAACAGCTCCCTCAATAACGTCTGAAAAATGCGTCAAGAGAGGTTTTAAACTGCGTCTCTCTAAAGCCCTGGCGTGACTCTCCAAGCGAAGATAATGCCTCCCAATAAAAAGCGCGATTAGAAAGGCGGGGATGGCGGCAAGAATCGACCACGGAGCGGTGAATTTGATGATAGCAACCACTGCCGCGTGCTCAACCACCGACTGAAAGAATAGTAGAATATCAGGGGGGAGTTTTTCGTCCAGACATTCCATGTCTTTGGAAAACGCTTTGAAGATTGCATCTTCTTTTCCAGCCTCAAACTCCAGCACAGGCGCCTTAAGCAGCGTGGAGATAGCTCTGTTGTGAATTCGCTTGGAAGACCTGAGCCCACACGCGAGGATGAATAAAGCTCTAATGAGAAGTAACAGCATAAAGGCACCTACGAGTACTGTAGGCAGCCAGCCATGTTGGTCGTCTTGTGATAGGTCCACAGTGCGTGCAAACAAAATACCGAGGGCAGCAAGGACGGCTGCAAAGGAAATTTCAGTGTTAATAATGAAGGCCGTTCATAGGTCGCACCAGATCAAATTTAGTTTACCCGAGTCTTAGTATTCGAGCTCTGGCATTATTATAGTGGTTTTTCTAGAAAACGATGATAATAATTCGTCTCCAGAAACTACTGAATTCACAATTTTGT